CACAACTTTCTTCAATCTTTCACAAGTGCCATCATTCGGGGCGTTCCTGTGAATTTATCCATTAAATCGAAAGCTGTTTGTCCCTCCAAGTTTCTTACAATATCAAGTTTCAATCCTCGAGCAATTAAGACTTGGATGATTGAATGGTCTGTATATCTTCCAGGATTTTTCTTAATTAAACTCAAATAATATCTCGTCACATAATGTGAAATATCGTCTCCATCAATACATCCATAGTATTTGATATTTCTTAATTGTTGTAAAGGGCTTTTCTCAATTGAAAAATGATAAAGACCGTTCAAATAATGGGTACACAATGATACAAGTTCAGGTTCACCTGAAGAGTAATCAAATCCAATTGTATTGGCTTCTGTTACCAATAAGTGAGTATTAATGTTATACCCCATTAATAAATATAAATATCTACACATTCCAAAGTTATCAGTATATGAAAAAAAGTTCAATTTAGGCATATTCTCAATATGTCCTAAATGGTCCAAAGCTATAAGATAACTATTGTAAAAAGTTTGGATGGGCATTGTTTGATTATCATCTTTGCAAAAGACAACATCTTTCAATTCTAAACCCAAATGTTGTATTGTTGCACTGAAACAATTGGTTGAATAGTGAACCAAATGTCTTCCATTCTCATCTCTAAAGTTAATATCTCTGTATTCTTCATATTTTTTGATTTGTTGATCATTAATGAAAGCAAAATAGATTTTTTCATTCACCATTAATCCATCAAATAGTAACATTCAAGAAAAATCCGTATTGCCAAAGGTTTGAACGAAAGAGTCGAAACAGAATTTCTTATTAAAACCACCTATTCCCAAGTTGTAGCCATGTAAAACAGCCATTTCGGGGTAATACCGAAAATGTTTGATTCTGTTCCAAGTAATTTAATTTCGTCCTGTGAAAATTTGGAAAGAAATTGCATCCAACCAATTCCTCTTCCATTAGAGAAGAGATAATGAAGGATATTGTTTCCAAACTTATCCTTCTCATTAATATTAATATTACTACATATTTCCAATCTTGACATTACTGTAGAGACACCAAAAATATCACAAGTGTTCTTCTCTATTTGAAATTTTGGTTCTGTAAAACAAGTGTTACATTGCAAATTAATAAAAACAAGATTGAGAACAAGTAATTATACTAATGGGTATTAAAGCTCAGGGACTGTTTCACCTTTAAGGTGATTCAGCCTTGAGACCTGCTTTAATGGATATAAATCTTTATTAGCAGGTCCCGAGATTAATAAATATGGCTCTTATAAAAAAACTTATCAATAGTATTAGTAAAGATAAGAAAAAAATTAGGAGATGCGAGTAGGAGGCATAAACTAAATTGAAATTAAAATAAAAAAGATATCATTCGATGATATCTGAAACCTCACTTCAACGAACACTTACCAAGATTCATTGAGAGCGTAAAA